GTCCCTTATGCTCTATGGGAAGACATTAGCTTGGACTTCATTACCGGACTGCCCCGAACTCAAAAAGGAAAAGACTCAATCATGGTGGTAGTGGACCGATTCTCGAAGATGGCTCACTTCATTCCGTGTGTCACCACCTACGACGCGTCACAAGTGGCTGATCTCTATTTCCGAGAGATAGTTAAACTACATGGTGTTCCCCGAAGCATGGTCTCGGATCGGGATCCGAAGTTCTTAAGTCATTTTTGGATGACCCTTTGGCGGAAGCTAGGCACGAAACTCAAGTTCAACACATCTACAAAACAAATTGATTGGTGTCATTTTAACACCATATAATAAAACTAAACTAACTTCTAGATATTTTAAATTTTGGTCAATCTCATAGAGAGGCATGAGTTAACTACTAATTTTTAAATTCTTTTCTTTCTTTTCGAAATTCACTTAAAGCTAAATAAAATTAAAAACTGAAAAACAAAGCTCAAAAGTAAACCAAACAACTAATAGAAGTTTAAAAAGTATGATTAAAAAGTTTTCAATGCCAAGTATTAACTCATGAATTTGATTTGATCATTAACACAAAAGATATTTATTCATCAAAATAGTTGGCGTAGGTTATATGCAAACACACAATAATCCCTAATTCACCTAAAATACTTAAAAGTGACAAACGTCGCCAATTAAGTCTAACTGAGAGTCTAAAAAATAACCTAGGCAACCGAGCCCTATAACGAACACCTAAGATCCATGGTTCAATTGCATAAAGTTTAGTAAATTTCTTAGCGAATCCAAATAACATTCTTCCAAATGGACAAACATTCAATTTGCATCTATATTCTTCTTAAAAAACCTAGTTGCTACTAAAATGAAATCTCGATCAAACAACCAAGAATTCAATTAGCAATAAACTCACAAGATTAATCAACAAGTATGCATCCAAATCAATCAAACTCATGAATTCAATAAAATTATCTCATAAGAAATATAGAATATCATGATAAATAAATCATTAAGCATTAATCTCATAAATCAAATCAGGTGTCGGTAGATGGGTTTTTATCTTGGTCGGTTCCGGGAGTGGTATATGAACTTTTCATTTTTCATCATAATAAAAGAAATAGTAGCCGTCATCATTTCTTTTGTTCTCCTGCAAAAAGGGTTTCTTTTGATATCCAATATTCTTGGATTCCGACCGGTTAGAACCCTTCTTGACCCATTTTAATTTACGCATTTCAATTAAACTCTTATTGGGACAATTTGTCACAAAGTGATTAGTTTTCATGCAGTAATGGCAAGCCTTTACTTTTGATTTAGAAGTTGAGGCTTGGTTTGATGGAATATCTTTTAAAGTATTGAAATGATTTTTGGCCATGCTATCAAATTTATGGGTTGACCATAATCAATACCTTCTTTCGTTAGTTTTGGTTGGTTGTCCCATTCTTTTGTTGAGTTGTAACTATTATAAAACATTTCCAAAGCCCCTAAATTGGCTTTGTCCTTTTCTTTAATTAAAATCTCAATTTTCTTTTGAAATTCTTCATTTTGGTTTTGAAGCTTCTCAAGATTAAGTTTTAAATCTTTATTTTCATCCCGAGAGGTTTCAAGAGCCACTTTGAGTTCCTTTTTCTCCCTAATGGTTCGAAAAAGGTCTTCTTGGCATTCATCAAACGCTTACCTTTAACTCATCAAAAGTAAATTGACTTTCAAAAGGAGTAAATGAGTTTTGAGAACTAACCTCTTCTTCATCATTGGAGGCCATGAAGGAAGAATTTGCGTTTTCTTCTTGGCTTTGGTCACTATCACTTTCGTCGGAGTTCAAGTCATCCCAAGTGACCTTCAATGCTTTCTTTTTCCCCTTTCTTAGCTCTTCCTTCTTTTTGAGCTTTGGGCATTCCGGCTTGATATGCCCTATATTTCCACATTCATAATAAGTTATTTGATTTGATTTACCTTTCTTTGGTGGAAATTTCTTTGAGGATTTGCCCTTGATCCATTTCATGAATTTTTTGTATCTCTTGAACATGGCGAGTTCCTCGTCACTCTCTCCTTCGCTTTTCAAGCGGTCATCAACCTTGAGTTCCATGGTCTTATTCATAATGGGAACCTGTTCTTCTTCCTTTATTTTCTTCAAAAGTAGCTCGTGAGAGTATAGGCTGCTCTAAATGGTGGAGGTTTCAACATCCGCACATTTGGGCAACAAGTTTACAACAAGACTATGCCATTTCTCTTGGAAGGGAGAATATAATCTTGGTATTAATCTCACTTTTATGATAATTTTTTTAACTTACTCAAGTTGTTGATGATGAGGTTAAATCTCTTGTTCATGTCTTGAACGGATTCTCCGGTTTTCATTTTGAAGTTCTCGTGTTCCGATGTTCCTAAAGCTATTTTGGTAGCTTTGGTGTCCTTGTCTCCCTCATGAGTAGCTTCCAAGAGATCCCAAGCTTCCTTAGCGGATCTACATGGACTTACCCTAGAACACTCATCTTGACCAAGGCACAAAATAGAACGTTTAATTCTTTGGCATTTAACGACAATTTCTTTTTATCCTCGGCCGTGAGTTTTTCCATGGGTGTGGGAACTTGTGTTTCACCTACAGTGGTCATAGGAATAAACGGGCCATTAGTAGTAACAATCCATAAGTCAAAATCAATGGATTGAATGAAATTCTCCATTCGCATTTTTCAATAACTGTAGTTATCACCATTGAGGAATGGTGGCTTGGTGATGCTTTGGGGATTCATGGAATTCATGTGTCGTGTAAGTGGTTTTCAAAATTTTGAAAAAGAAAGAAAATCCTGCTCTGATACCAATTGAAAGTCGGTTTACACCCTAAGAGGGGGGTGAATTAGGGTGTTTGAAAGTTTTTCGTAAAAATAAAAATTTAGGCGCAAAGTAGTAGCGTAAAAGGAGCAAGAAAAATATAAGAAAGAAAAGTATGACACAATCGATTTTATACTGGTTCGGGAACTCCCTACTCCAATACCTCGAGGCTCCTCCTTAAGTATCCACTAACTTGTTTGGCTTCACTAAGAAGATCCAAACGAGGTTTGGCAAACAACCCTTGCCAATAAGCAACGAGATTTTATGCCGGCTATCTCGACCGTTTACAACTGAAGATTTAGAGGCTATCTTCAACCTTACAAAGTGGATTTAAAGGCTATCCACACCTTTTACAAAATAACGAAAAGAGTTTGAAGTTCATTCCCACTCATTATATAAGGGAAAACTTTGCTAGGCTTCAACACCTAAGACAAGGAAATCGGTCCGTAGAAGAATACAACCGAGAGTTTGAAGAACTCTTGATGCAGTGTGATCTCCAAGAGAATGACCCGCAAACTTTTGTGAGATACCTCTTTGGCCTAAACACCCAAATCGCCAACACAGTGGAGCTGCAAACCTTTGAGAGCCTTGAAGAGTTAACCAAGTTAGCACATAAGGTGGAAGCCCAACTCAAGAAGGGCAAATCTTCTTTGAGCCATGGCAATTCTTCCTTTCCTAGTACATCAAATTCCAACCCCCTTGTTGTACCCCACCATGCATCACAAAAGGGTAAAAAAATCAGGGGTTAATGCTTGAGTGTTATAATCCTTATTGGGTTGAATTCATTCCTTTTTCCCATGAAAAGACCCAACCTTTAGCCCTTGTTGCCCAAAATCCCCCCTAAACCAAATCATAACCCACAAACCCTCTCCCACAACATCCAAACTCATTTCCTCTGTCCAAAATAAAGTCTTTGTTATTCATTACTAAGCCTAGGCCGAAGGTGAACACCAAAAGACAAAACAAAACCTTAGCTTGCTATTTTTCTTCTTGATAATCGATTATCCAACATAGATAATCGACTATTGCTTCCCTCTGGATTCTCCTAACATAGTCCAGCAATGCTCCATAATCGATTATCTCCCAACTAATAATCGATTATCATTCATCTCTGAAAATATCCGGTTTGGAAGCCAGTCTTTGATAATCGATTGTTTCTAAAATGTTAATCGACTATTGGACATCTCCGAAAATTCTGGGTTAGAAGACATAACTGATTAATCGATTATCAATAGGAGATAATCGATTATCACACGGCTCTGAACTCAGAAATCAGTAAAGTAGTTTTTTGAACATTAAAGGTTTTGTCATTTAGGAACAAACTTGGCTAAAAACCATTCCCACTATATATGAACGAAATTCCCATGTTATTATTCAATAGAATTAAAGACTTTTACAATACAAAACAAAGCTTAATCCCTCATCCATGTGCCTGCCCAAAAGTCTTTGATTGAATAGTAATATTTTGTCCTATATTTCACTAGAAGTCAAGCAATGTTGTTTCCTTTATTCCTCCACTCTAAGGACGAAAATCATACATAAGACCACTCAAAATACATGCCAAATCCCTGATCATTAGCCAAGAATCCAACTCATTTGGGATATCAACACATGGACAATATTTGTTTTGTTTTGTAGGAAAGAAGTGGGATGTTTCCCTTGTTGTATTTTCTTTATTATGTAATCATGTTTGTTGTATTGTTTGTCCATTCCATGACCTATATATTTCAGCCCTGGTACTTTGTATTAAGCAGCTTGTAAAATATATTGTGATAATATAAGTTTCTTGCTCAGTCTCTCTCTAAATTCTATATATTAAATCCTAATTCTATATCTTAAGAGTGGTTCTCTTAAGTGGGAGATTTAGGTTCTAGATATATTAAATAAGTTGAGTGATTCCTTATTTAAATACTAGATGATGGGGAATAACCCCACACCAGCCTAGGGCTGACATCAGCATAAATTTCCTAAGTGTCGGGCTTGGACGTTCCTGCCCGGCCCAGAGCTCTGCTCGTCCTTCCTACCCGGCTCTGCGCTCCGCTCGTCCGTCCTGCTCGGCTCGGCCATCCAAGCCGAGCCCGAACCCCGCGACAACGACGTGCGGAAAGCGACGTTCAACGAAGACTTGGTGAAAGCGATAGGATGAAAGGGACAAGACGTAAGGACAAGTGACGTCCGCTAGACGACGGGCATCGATTAGAGAGCTTTGACTTAGCTTATTTTACCCCCTATAAAAGGGGTGTCACCCCTCATTGTAATGGACCCAAATTTTGAAATCACTATACTCCTACTTTGCATTCTCTCTCTCCAAAACTTATATTATTTCATACTCTCGGTGGTTTATAGCCATCAAATTGGTGCTTTCATTGAGAGCAGAGGAACATACTCGTAGGTTAACTCTCGAACGGGAGAATGGTGCAAACAAGGAGCAACGTCCCCACCACCAGCCACGTCGTTGGCGAGGAGAACGCGTGGGGCAGCAGAAACGGTACGGGCGGCATCGGCTCGACTCGGGACGCGGTCCAGGCGCTGTTCGGCTTGGGGGTGACCGCGGAGCAGCTCCAGGCAGCCGTTGCGGCACTTTCCGCCATGGGTGGGAACGTGCCCGGCGCCGGAGTTGGCAAAGCTCCGCCCGGTCTCCATGCCGAACACGCTACCACTTCCCAACACAAGGGGAAGAAGACCCGGAGGAGTAGAAGGAGGCCCGGAAAGGCCCCGGCGATCGAGGAGGTGATTGTGGAGGACGTCCCGGATGAGGAGGACGATGAGTCCAGCGAGTGCCGAGTGTCAGCCTTCAGGCGCTTAGGAGGGGAAGAGACCCGGGTGTCGGCCTTCGACAGGCTCGACCGCGGATCGGAAGTTCGCCCGGGCGACCTCCGCCGACAAATAGCCGAAGGCAGGCGGAGGCATGCTGAGGAGTCCGCAACATCGGATGCTCGCTCGGCGAGGTCCGAGCGGAGCGGAGAGAGGCGGAAGGAACGCACCCAGCGTCGCCATAGCCTGACGAGAACTGAGAAGACCAAGGGGTTTCTCGGCTCGCTCGTGAGATTGCCGAGCTCAAGCGCCGAGGGCTCCCTACAGCCAGCCCATCTTGCAGAGGGTTATGTCGGTTCCGCTGCCGGCAAACTTCCGGCCGTGGCAGATCAAGGCCTACAACGGAACGACGGATCCCCAAGATCATTTGTCTAAGTTCTATGCTTCTATGGAAGCGGCGGCAGCCCCGGGCGAGGTCAAGCGCCGATGCTTTCTCGCGACGCTGGAGGGCTCCGCGTGCGATTGGTTCAACCGGCTCCCGAAGGGAACTATTGACGATTGGGATGCGCTAGCGGAGAAGTTCTTGACGCATTTCGCAGCCAACCGGAGGCAGAGGCTACCTTACTCCCACCTGCTCAACATCTGCATCCGCAAAGGAGAGAAGATCCGCGACTTCATAACCCGGTGGGAGAAGGAAGCAGGAGACGTGCACGGGGTGAGGTGAGGAAGGAGCTCCGCAAGAATCTTCCCCCCACGTACCAAGAAACCTTGGCGCGCGCTAAGTTCTTGGCCTCGGAGGAATTCGATGATGCCCCTGACTCCGAGGCTGCGCCGACCAAGCGAGCTCCCGCAGATTCAGAGGAGATAGCGAAGAAGAGGAAGAAGAAGAAAGACTACACTGTGGGCCCGAGGACGCCCTCGGCGGGTGTGTACTCCGTGGGTGCGCCCGTGGGGACGGGTCGAGAGCTGGCCCTCTCCCCGCTCCCACACGTAGAGACCTATGCGGTGTCCAGCGGCGCCAAGTACTGCGAGTATCACCGCAACAACACTCACAACACTAAGGAATGCTTCACTCTTCAGAAGGAGATGCAGCGACTCATCGCCCGANGCGCCGACCAAGCGAGCTCCCGCAGATTCAGAGGAGATAGCGAAGAAGAGGAAGAAGAAGAAAGACTACACTGTGGGCCCGAGGACGCCCTCGGCGGGTGTGTACTCCGTGGGTGCGCCCGTGGGGACGGGTCGAGAGCTGGCCCTCTCCCCGCTCCCACACGTAGAGACCTATGCGGTGTCCAGCGGCGCCAAGTACTGCGAGTATCACCGCAACAACACTCACAACACTAAGGAATTCTTCACTCTTTAGAAGGAGATGCAGCGACTCATCGCCCGAGGGTCGGCTCCGCGAGACGATGGAGCAGCCCCTTCCCGGGGTCCACCAGAAGGGAGAACATGGAGGAAGTCGACCGAGCCGGTCGCGGTGGCCACGCAAGCGAGGAACCCCGAGAAGAGGCACATTGGGCGAGAGTGTGATGATCTAGACGAGGACGAAGCCCAAGGATATCCGGTGGGGTTCATCCATGGAGGAAATATCGGTGGGGATTCCGCCACTCAAAGGAAGAGGTGGAAGCACATGGCCTTCGTCGCCAAGGTCCAACAGGCGCCGACGCCCAAGCTCGGAAGACGAGAGCAAATCCAATTCACGGAGAGGATCTTCCGAACACGCCGAGCCCCCACCGGGATGCCTTAGTCGTGAGGATAGAGATCAACAACGCCATAGTGCACCGCACCTTGTTGGACACGGGAAGCTCGGTCAACATAATGTATGAGAAGACCTTTCAAGACCTCGGCTTGGACCGCAAGGATTTAAGGCCCGTGCGCATTCCTCTCTCCGGGTTCACGGGGGACTCCATTGAGGCCGAAGGAGTCGTCACCGTGCCCGTGATAGTAGGGGATGGTGCGCACAAGGCCAAGTTGAAGATTGGAGTTCATGGTTGTGAGCATCAGCTGCGCGCACAACATGATCCTAGGACGGCCCGGCCTTGAGGACTTGGAATGTGTGATCTCGCCATACTACTTGTGCATGAAGTTCCCCACTCCTTCGGGAATCAGGGTGGCGAGGGGAGACCAAAAGTTAGCTCGATCGTGCTATGTCCGAATCAAAAAGAAGTTGCCAAGAGATGAGACGTTGGTCGTGCACGCACAAGAAGAAATGCGGAAGCTGGAAGCACGGCCGAAGGCCGAGCCCGCTGAGGAGGTTGAGGAAGTGCCGCTCGACCCTTGAGCACCCGAGCGGAAGGTGAAGGTCGGGGTGAGCCTGACCGGGAGCCAGCGGAAGCGCTTAGTGGACGTGCTCTCCGCCTACCGCGTGATCTTTGCATGGGGACCCGGGGATATGCCGGGGGTAGACCCCAAGGTCATATGTCACCGCTTGGCAGTCAACCCAGAGGCTAGGCCGGTGAAGCAGAAGAAGCGGTTCCTCTCATCCGAGCGGAGGGAGTTTGTCTCCAAGGAGGTCGCCACCCTCTAGAGCATTGGGCATATCAGAGAGGTTAAGTACCCGGAGTGGATGGCCAACGTGGTGCTGGCACCCAAGGGAAACATTTGGAGGATGTGCGTGGACTACACCGATCTAAACAAGGCCTGCCCTATGGATCCGTTCCCACTCCCGAACATCGACCAGCTGGTGGACGAAACGGCGGGCTGCGAGCTCATGAGTTTCATGGACGCCTTCAGCGGGTACCACCAAATCCGGATGTACCCTGAGGACGAAGAGAAGACATCTTTCACTACCCCCGGCGGAGTATATTGTTATAAGGTGATGCCTTTCGGGCTCAAGAATGCCGGGGCGACTTATGCTAGGATGGTGAGCAAGCTCTTTGCACCCGTCCTCGGGAAGAGCATGGAAGCGTACGTCGACGACATGATTGTGAAGAGAAAGCAGGCGACCACCCATGCGGAAGACTTAGAAGGAGTTTTCAAGATTATAGAGAAGTATAACCTTCGGTTGAACCCGAAGAAGTGCACGTTTGAAGTTCAGGGTGGCAAATTCTTGGGACATATGGTTAGCAGGCGTGGCATTGAGCCCAACCCCGAGAAGGTGCGCGCCATCCTTGACATGGAAGCTCCACGAAATGTCAAGGAGGTGCATCGCTTGACCGGAAAGTTGGCTGCGCTCAGCCGCTTCCTTTCCAAGGTGGCGGACCGAGGGTTCCTGTGGACGGAAGAATGCCAACAATCCTTTGAATCCCTCAAGTCCTACCTCCTCTCTCCTCCGGTTCTCGCGAAGCCCGAAGCAGGGGAGACGTTGTACTTACACTTGGGAGTTTCACCCAAAGCTTTGAGCTCGGTCCTAGTCCGAGACGAAGGTGGAGCTCAACACCCGGTGTATTATACGGCGAAGACGCTGAGGGGTGCCGAGCTCAGATACTCAGTAGCCGAAAAGACGGTCCTCGCCGTGGTTTCAACCGTGCAGCGTCTAACACCCTACTTCCAAGCTCACCCGGTTCAAGTGCTCTCCCAACAGCCCATTGGTGCGCTACTCGAGAGCCCGAATGCGCCCTCGCGCATGTCCAAGTGGGCGGTGTTCCTTGGAGCTTTCCAGATCGAATTCAAGCCAAGGCCGGCGATCAAGGGCCAAGCGCTAGCTGACTTCATGGTAGAGTGCACCGCTTGGGAGGAGCCGAGCCCGGAAGAGCCGGAAGCCAATGACTGGTGGATAGTTTTTACCGACGGCTCCTCCGCCGCCAAAAACTCGGGGGGTGGAGTGGTAGTCATCGCTTCCGAAGGCTTCAGAGCATACTACTCAATTCGATTCGGTTTCAAGGCATCAAACAATGAAGTGGAATATAAAGCGCTCCTGTCGAAGCTGAGCTTGGACACGCCCGAGCATATCAGGCGAATGGCGAACGTGGAAGAGTTGTCCGAGCCAAGCATCCATGCCTCCACTGTGGCAATGATCTGTCGCTTGTCCAAGAGATTGGATGGACGATATAGTCGCCTTCCGCCCTCCCGGATGATGAAAAAAAGGCCAAGCTGGTCCGGACTAGGGCACCCGGATACACTTTGGAGGGCGGAAACTATACAAGCGAGCGTACATCTTTTCGGTTGAACTCAATGGAATGAAGTTTTTGCAAAAAGTGCTCGCTTGAACACTCGTGCTCGGCGCTCCTACTCAGGAGGAGGGTCAAGCGCAGACCATACCCGGATGTTCTTCCCGGATGAAGGTCAATCACTTGTGCTCAGTGCTCCTCCTCAGGAGGAAGGCCGAGCACAGACCATACCCGGATGTTCTTCCCGGACGAAGGTCAAACACTCGTGCTCGGCGCTCCTCCTTAGGAGGAAGGTTGAGCGCAGACCATACACGAATGTTCTTCCCGGACGAAGGTCAAACACTCGTGCTCGGCGCTCCTCCTCACGAGGAAGGTCGAGCGCAGACCATACCCGGATGTTCTTCCCGGACGAAGGTCAAACACTCATGCTCGGCGCTCCTCTTCAAGAGGAAGGCCGAGTGCAGACCATACCCGGATGTTCTTCCCAGATGAAGGTCAGACACTCGCGTTTGGCACTCCTCCTCGGGAGGAAGATCGAGCGCAGACCATACTCGGATGTTCTTCCCGGATGAAGGTCAGACACTCGCGCTTGGCGCTCCTCCTTAGGAGGAAGGCCGAGCGCAGACCATACCCGGATGTTCTTCCCGGACGAAGGTCAAACACTCGTGCTCGGCGCTCCTCCTTAAGAGGAGGGTCGAGCGCAGACCATACCCGGATGTTCTTCCCGGACGAAGGTCAAACACTCGTGCTCGGCGCTCCTCCTTAGGAGGAGGGTCGAGCGCAGACCATACCCGTATGTTCTTCCCGGATGAAGGTCAGACACTCGCGCTCGGCGCTCCTCCTCAGGGAGGGAAGTCGAGCGCAGGCCATACCCGGATGTTCTTCCTGGATGGAGGTCAAACACGCACGCTAAAAATAATAACTAAAAAAACGAGACATAAAATCAAATTAATATCTTATTCATCCCTGAAAATGGGGATAGTACACGGCGCAAACGCCTTAGAATGGACCGGTGGGCAAAGGCACCAAGGCCAAGGTTTGGGCAGAGCTCCACGAGGATAAAGTAAGCCCGCGCTCGCCCTCTGTTGGGCACCGAGACGAGTCGAGCACGTCTTTGGTAAAACGAGCCCAAGCGTAAGCACGGCCCCGCACAAGCGAGCGTAGGCCATACCCGGATGTTCTTCCCGGATGAAGGTCAACACTCGCGCTCGGCTCTGTCTTCCTCAAGAGGATGGACGAGCGTAGGGCATACCCGGATGTTTTTCCCGGATGAAGGTCAACACTCGCGCTCGGCTTCGTCCTCCTCAAGAGGATGGACAAGCATAGACATACCCGGATGTTCTTCTCGGGTGAAGGTCAATGCTCGCGCTCGGCTCTGGCCTCCTCAAAAGGATGGACGAGCGTAGGCCATACCTGGATTTTCTTCCCGGATGAAGGTCAACACTCGCGCTCGGCTCTGTCCTCCTCAAGAGGAAAAGGGGAAATACATGGCGCACACGCCTTACAAGAGTTAAAACATAGAAACGCATAATATTAGTACCACTTGCCGCAATTCCACTAGTAGTTGCATGGGCACGGCGGAGGGTAGGAAGAAGGTGAAGCAGCTCCACCGATGAAGGAATGGCCGGTGGACTCGCCGATGCAAGGCGAGCCTGGGTCTTCGTTGGGTTGATGGCTTGGATGATGGGCCGCCACCTTGCTTGGGAAGGCGAAACGTCACCACTTGTCCACCGATCAACACGCGGGCCCATGCGCCACCCCATCCACAGTGTTTCTACTCTCGCGCGTTCCATTGCCAGCTGCCAAGGAACCCGGAGAGTGGGGGGCTTCTGATGGGGANCGGAGGGTAGGAAGAAGGTGAAGCAGCTCCACCGATGAAGGAATGGCCGGTGGACTCGCCGATGCAAGGCGAGCCTGGGTCTTCGTTGGGTTGATGGCTTGGATGATGGGCCGCCACCTTGCTTGGGAAGGCGAAACGTCACCACTTGTCCACCGATCAACACGCGGGCCCATGCGCCACCCCATCCACAGTGTTTCTACTCTCGCGCATTCCATTGCCAACTGCCAAGGAACCCGGAGAGTGGGGGGCTTCTGATGGGGAATAACCCCACACCAGCCTAGGGCTGACATCAGCATAAATTTCCTAAGTGTCGGGCTTGGACGTTCCTGCCCGGCCCAGAGCTCCGCTCGTCCTTCCTGCCCAGCTCTGCGCTCCGCTCGTCCGTCCTGCTCGGCTCGGCCATCCAAGCCGAGCCCGAACCCCGCGACAACGACGTGCGGAAAGCGACGTTCAACGAAGACTTGGTGAAAGCGATAGGATGAAAGGGACAAGACGTAAGGACAAGTGACGTCCGCTAGACGACGGGTATCGATTAGAGAGCTTTGACTTAGCTTATTTTACCCCCTATAAAAGGGGTGTCACCCCTCATTGTAATGGACCCGAATTTTGAAATCAATATACTCCTACTTTGCATTCTCTCTCTCCAAAACTTATATTATTTCATACTCTCGGTGGTTTATAGCCATCACTAGAGTTTAACCCGAGTGAAGATAAGTGTGTGTGATTCCTCTTATTATTCACTTGATAAATGCTTATTTCCCTCTCCTTTGTTCTTTCCTGAATTCAGCCTCTCCTATATTTCTACTTCCTACTATTCTTCTTCCTCTTCTTAAGTATATACCCTAGACCATCCCGGGTCTCGGGTACAACATTTGGTATCAAAGCTTGTTGTTGAACATCTCTTTGAGGACCACAAACACTTCCCCCTCATTCCCTCTTTCTCTTCCAATCTTGATCCTGATAGCATTGATAATCGATTATCATACATAGACAATCGACTATCTATCCCTTCTGAAATTTTCTTGTTTGGAGAAAAGATCTTGTTAATCGGTTATCAGTAAAAGATAATTGACTATTACACATCTCTAAACTTTAGAATTTAAAGTTGTTTCCCTCCTGCTAGCCTTTCTCTTGTTTCTCACCTTTCTCAAACCATGTCTCACACAACTCAAAACATGTCCCAAGAAGAGCTTATTGCTTCAAATGCAGAATTGAAGACTCAAGTTGAATACTTGGCAAAAGAAGTGTCAAAGCTCACTAAATTCAAGTTGAGTATGGTTCAAACTCCCGAAGAAAGTGAAGATGAAGATGATGCTAGTTCTGTTGCTACCTTAAGAGCTAGAACCCCGGAGAAGTCAGCCTCTGATTTCAAAATTCACATGCCCACTTTCGAAGGAAAGAACGATCCTGATGACTTTCTTGAATGGTTAGAGACCGTTGAACATGTATTTGACTTCAAGGATGTCTCCGAAGAAAAGAAGGTCAAACTCGTGGCCTTAAAGTTCAGAAAGTATGCGTCAACATGGTGGACTAACGTCACCATTAGGCGTAGGAGAGAAAACAAGTCCCCGGTGACCTCGTGGACCAAGATGCGAACACTCTTGAAGAAGAAGTTTCTGCCCGATAACTACATAAAGGAAAACTTTTCTAAGCTTCAACACTTGAGGCAAGGCTCTCGTTCTGTAGAGGAATACAACCGAGAGTTCGAGGAACTCTTATTAAGGTGTGATCTTCAAGAAGATGATTCACAAACTTTTGTGAGGTATCTATTTGGATTGAATGTCCAAATAGCTAACACTGTGGAACTACAAGACTACCACACTCTTGACGATCTTACAAAGCTGGCTCTCAAAGTTGAAAGCCAAATCAAGAAAGGCAAGGCTGCCCAAATGAGAATCTCCTCTTCAAATCCACCATTGCTCACCACCCCTTCATCTCCTTCACCTTCTCCAACTCCTTCCTCTCACCATAAACCCATACTTTCAACCCCTCCCTCAAATATCCAAAATAAATCCCGGCACAATCAAAATGTCAACCGAACTCCAAAATGTTATCGTTGCCAAGGTAATGGTCACATAGCTCAAGATTGTCCCAATAAGAAGGTCATGACTCTTGTTGTTATATCTGGGCCCGGCCCTATCCTATCCTCCCCCATGTCCCACACTCCCATGGGAACCAAAGGACTTACGTTCAAACATTATGATCCATTTTAGTATCAATTCAAAGTCCTTTAACCCGGAAAGCCAAATAACATTTGTTTTTGACCTCGGCTAGCCAATCCTCTTTTCGTCCAACCCAACCCCAAATATCCAAAAGTATTTTATTTCCTTTTGATATCCAAAATAAAGTTCTTCCTACTCTTATTTTAGCCCCGGGCCGAAAATAAGAGTGTGTAAAATAAAACCTTTTGTTTGTTGTTATTTTTCTTCTTTGAAAGCCTTTATTGAGCCAATAAAACCCTCCCTTTATTCCATTCACCCCCTGGCCAAAATACACTTCACAATCCCAACATAAACACCCACAAAGAGCCAAAACCATGACCCACCTCCAGCCCCTACTTCCTGCCCCTGTTTCCCTCACAATAACCCAAAGCCATAACTCCAAAACACCCATAAATAATACCCAGCCCTGTCCCCTTTTATTGGCCAAAACATCCCCCCCATTTTACCCAAATAATAGCCACAAAAAGACCAGGAAACAACCACAAGGAACCAAAACACAAAACCCCCACAAACCCCAGCCCCATCCCTGATTTGAGTCCACCAAGGAGACGGGAATGAAGAAAGATTATCCCATGCTTTGGAGGAGGATGTTGCTAGGAAGTTTCCTAATGTCTACATTCAATGTATTGTGCATTATCTCCCCATTTCCCTGCCTATATAACTCAGGCCTTATGGCCATTGTAAAACACCTTTTGAATATTAAAACCTTTTACTCTTTGAGTATTATTAAAATAGTGTGATGCTATTTTAGCCAAATTCCTAATTCTATATCTTAAGAGTGGTTATCTTAAGTGTGAGTTTTAGGTTCTAGATATTTGATTAAGTGTGTCATATCTTAATTAAATTCTAGATTCAAACCCCAAGTTAAGATAAGAGTGTGTAATATCTCTTAAACACCAACTTGGTTTATCCATCCTTGATTTTCTTCCATTTCATACCTCCCCATTTCTCCTCTTAATCTCACTCTTTTCTTCCATTAAAATACCCAAAAGAACTCCCTCATCAGCCCCATATATTTCCAACCTATTCCTCCATGTGTTTGTCATTATCAAAACCTGTGAGTCAACACCTAACAACACAGAAAGGGTTGAACTCATGCATTCCAACATGTTGGACCTGATGATGGAGAGCTTTTGGTCATTCGTAGAACTTTAAGTGCAATGGCCTGTCCAAAAGAAGAAATACAACGAGAGAATATCTTCCATACTCGTTGTACAATCCAAGAAAAGGTGTGCTCTCTCATCATTGATAGTGGGAGTTGTACGAATGTTGCCTCTAAGACTATGGTGGATAAACTCCAGCTGAAAACTTCACCACACCCGACACCATACACGATTCAATGGCTGAATCATGGTAAAGGGTTACGTGTTGACACTCAATGCTTGGTGTCACTAAGTCTTGGACAAACCTACAAGGATGAAATATGGTGTGATGTGATACCGATGGACGCTTGTCATGTGCTGCTAGGACGACCTTGGTTGTTCGATCGCTGGGTTCTTTACGATGGATACGCTAACACGTATTCATTCCTCAAAGACAATAAGAGAATCACCCTTACTTCTCTTCATCCTGAAGAAAAATCTCCCGTTCATCTGTCAACATTGATACGAGCTGGTAAATCTGAATACATAGATGAAACTCGTCGTGAGACGATAACAATGACTCAAGTCAACCAGCATGTTTGTGGGAACGTGAATGTAAACACGAGAGACCTCAATGATCAATCCAAGCCAATTTATACTCTGAGTTTGAGGTCAAACTCTTTTGAAGACGGGGAGGATGTTGTACCCCACCATGCATCACAAAAGGGTAAGAAAAATCAGGGGTTAATGCTTGAGTGTTATAATCCTTATTGGGTTGAATTCATTCCTTTTTCCCATCAAAAGACCCAACCCTTAGCCCTTGTTGCCCAAAATCCCCCCTAAACCAAATCATAACCCACAAACCCTCTCCCACAACATCCAAACTCATTTCCTCTGTCCAAAATAAAGTCTTTGTTATTCATTACTAAGCCTAGGCCGAAGGTGAACACCAAAAGACAAAACAAAACCTTAGCTTGCTATTTTTCTTCTTGATAATCAATTATCCAACATAGATAATCGACTATTGCTTCCCTCTGGATTCTCCTAACATAGTCCAGCAATGCTCCATAATCGATTATCTCCCAACTAATAATCGATTATCATTCATCTTTGAAAATATCCGGTTTGGAAGCCAGTCTTTGATAATCGATTGTTTCTAAAATGTTAATCGACTATTGGACATCCCCGAAAATTCTGGGTTAGAAGACATAACTGATTAATCGATTATCAATAGGAGATAATCGATTATCACACGGCTTTGAACTCAGAAATCAGTAAAGTAGTTTTTTGAACATTAAAGGTTTTGTCATTTAGGAACAAACTTGGCTAAAAACCATTCCCACTATATATGAATGAAATTCCCATGTTATTATTCAATAAAATTAAAGACTTTTACAATACAAAACAAAGCTTAATCCCTCATCCATGTGCCTGCCCAAAAGTCTTTGATTGAATAGTAATATTTTGTCCTATATTTCACTAGAAGTCAAGCCATGTTGTTTCCTTTATTCCTCCACTCTAAGGACGAAAATCATACATAAGACCACTCAAAATACATGCCAAATCCCTCATCATTAGCCAAGAATCCAACTCATTTGGGATATCAACACATGGACAATATTTGTTTTGTTTTGTAGGAAAGAAGTGGGATGTTTCCCTTGTTGTATTTTCTTTATTATGTAATCATGTTTATTATGTAATCATGTTTGTTGTATTGTTTGTCCATTTTAGACCTGGTACTTTGTATTAAGCAGCTTGTAAAATATATTGTGATAATATAACTTTCTTACTCAGTCTCTCTCTAAATTCTATATATTAAATCCTAATTCTATATCTTAAGAGTGGTTCTCTTAAGTTGAAGATTTAGGTTCTAGATATATTAAATAAGTTGAGTGAAGATCAATCTTTGAGAAAACCTTCAAACCGTGAAGTTCGTCCAGCATATCCTCGAGCCTAGGTATGGGGTACCTATATTTGATGGTGATCTTGTTAATGGCTCGGCTATCACAACACATTCTCCACGTACCATTTTTCTTTGGTACCAACAAGGCCGGAACAGCACAAGGACTTAGGCTTTCACGAACAAAGCCCTTTGTTAGTAATTCATCCACTTGACGTTGGATCTCCTTTGTTTCTTCGGGATTCATTCTATAGGCTGGTTTGTTCGGTAAGGCAGCCCCGGGAATGAGGTCGATCTTGTGTTGGATATCTCTTTTTGGGGGCAGGCCGTGTGGTACAT